GCTACATTGTGAACAACCAGAGAAATGAAAATTTGTGCTGCAATTGTGTACAATGAATAAAATGCATTCTGCTGTTATATATACCTAATTAGAATTAATTAGTTAATTAATTTTTTTAAAAAAAGAAAAGAACAGAACGAGGATTTGGCTCAGTGGTTCCTAGGACCAAAAAGAAAGTTCAATTCCTAGGACCAAACCAGGATGACACTATATTTAGTATGACCAAAATTCTTGCAGGACAGATAAACATGAACACCCTACCCCACATCCCCTTGAAGAGAAACTTGAATAAACTTTACAAAAGCCCTACTTGCTTATGTGGAAGCATTTGTCTCCTCCATTGAATCAAAAGATCCAAGAGTACAGGTGAGGGGTTCAGTGGTAGAGCAAATGCCTACTATGCACGAGGTCCTGGGTTCAATCCCCAGCACCAGCACCATACAAAAAAAAGAAAAAGAAGAAATCAAAGAATAGTGGTTCATCAAAATACCTTTTGGGCTTCTTTAAAACAAGATGCCCTAGTTTACCTTACAGTCAAGATTCAAGATAGGTTCCAGGTGACTTAGGTATGTAGCCATGACTGAGAACCACAACTCTAGAAACCTAGAAGATCTCGTTTGAGAGCACTCACACCAGGAGCGGCCATCAAGGACATCCATCTGCACAGCCAACTTAGCTTGTCGAACACTGTCCATGACATGGTTAGAATGTTCATCTCCTGTGTCAGTCCGCAACTGGCGAAGCACCATTGACAAGTTTTGCAGGGAGACTTTGTTCTTGCACTGCAAATTAAAAAAAACATAACACTCAACCTTCCTGATTCTACCTTCTCTTTCTAGATCTATTCTGACTTCAATCTTCTCCTAAATCTAATTTTTCATCTTAATTCTTGCTGCCATCTGCATCTGGGATGCCAACAACAAGGATTAGCCTGGTTGCTCACTTTTCTTCACTTCTTATCTACCCCTGAATTTGATCCCATCACCTTTTTCCTTTCTCAGTTCCCCGTCCCTGATTTCCTCATCCAGGTGGCTCCTTTACCCTTCTGATTATGTTCCCCTAGTTCAAACTTAGCTCTGATTTATTATTAGAGTCCTAGAGAAATTCACAGAACCAAAGGAATTCCATCCTTCCCATCTGTGTTTTCTGAGGGGATGGTGGGCAGCTCACATGGGTGAGGGCTCCTGAGAAGCAGGTGTGGGCAGCTGCAACATCCCCTTTCTTCCAGTAGACCTCACCCAGCTGGTTCCAGGCTTCCACCAGCTCAGGTTCCAGCTTCACAGCCTTTGACAGAAGCTCCTCAGCCTTAGGGCTATAGTCAGGAGTCACATTCAGTGCCTTCCCTGTTAGCATCAGAGCCTGTGCCTTGCCCTGGACAGAACCTAGGAAGAAAAGAAAAAGGATAAAGGAAAGTTGAAAAACCTGAGAAGTGGAAAGACCAGGGTACTGTCTCTCAAGAAATAACAGCATGCTAGCTCTAGGAATGGAAGGAGTTGAGGAAAATTTTTAACAGTGATCCATTTACTGAAAGCCTATTATATGGAGAATGCTATGTTAGGTATTGGGTAACAAAGCAAGCAGTATTTCTACCCTAGAAGGCTTTCACAATCTGGTGAAAGAAACAAAACTTAACACATGAAAAATTAAAATAACAATGAAAAGCAGCACAGGGTACTCATCAATGAATGGGCTTTAAAAAGTAAAGAGAAAAGAAGATAAAATGAAGGGAAGGGAGGGGGAATGTGAAAAGAATAGCATCAAATAAATCTGATATAACTTGCCTATGTACATATTTGAATATACTACAGTGAATCTCACCATCATGTACATCCACAAGAAATTAATTTTTAAAATTAATATAGGTAAATGGCAGAAAGATCAGTAAAGGGAAGT